GTGTGTGGGTGTTGCAGTGGTGTGGGGGGGGGGGTCCTTGGGTGAAACATCTGCCAGAGCAGTGATGAGCTCCTTGGGAAAGTGCTGCACTGGGCCAGTGGAGGCAAGTGCTACTCAATGCTGGGAGGGCAGAACAACTTTGGTTGCTGCTGCTGCTGCTGCACAGGTCCTAGAACTAAGCGTGTGGGGATGCCACCGTGGTTTCCGGTTTGGCTCAAGGGCTCTCAGCACCCCCCCTATAAAAAACTGTTCAGTGCCCTTGTGCTGCAGCCCCCCCCTTCCCCAGAGAGATGGTCAACACACACACAGGAGTACAACCCACCTTTGTCACACACAAGAAAGTAACACAATCCTGACACACATATGATAGCAACTCCCCCAACATAAACAATTGAGCAACCCCTCCTCTTCCCCACACAGGAGAGCAACACCGTCCCACCCTCACCGAAGAGCAACATCTCCCACGCTCCAGCCACACAAATAAGCAACACTCTCCCGGCACACCGAGACAAGTACCATCCTTTCCTCCTCCCCAAATGCATGTGTATGTGAATGGTGACCAAGGAGGAGTGTGCATGTGAATGGTGACCAGGAAGGGAAGTGTGTGTGTCTGTCTGTGAGAGAGAGAGAGAGAGAGAATGGTGACCGAGGGGTGTGTGTGGGGGGGTGTGAATGGTGACTAGTGAAGGAAGTGTGTGTGTGTGTGTGTGAGAGAGAGAGAGAGAATGGTGACCAAGGAGGTGTGTGTGAATGGTGACTAGTGAGGGAAGTGTGTGTGTGTGTGTGTGTGAGAGAGAGAGAGAGAATGGTGACCAAGGAGGTGTGTGTGAATGGTGACTAGTGAGGGAAGTGTGTGTGTGTGTGTGTGTGAGAGAGAGAGAGAGAATGGTGACCAAGGAGGTGTGTGTGAATGGTGACTAGTGAGGGAAGTGTGTGTGTGTGTGTGTGTGAGAGAGAGAGAGAGAATGGTGACCAAGGAGGTGTGTGTGAATGGTGACTAGTGAGGGAAGTGTGTGTGTGTGTGTGTGTGAGAGAGAGAGAGAGAATGGTGACCAAGGAGGTGTGTGTGAATGGTGACTAGTGAGGGAAGTGTGTGTGTGTGTGTGTGTGAGAGAGAGAGAGAGAATGGTGACCAAGGAGGTGTGTGTGAATGGTGACTAGTGAGGGAAGTGTGTGTGTGTGTGTGTGTGAGAGAGAGAGAGAGAATGGTGACCAAGGAGGTGTGTGTGAATGGTGACTAGTGAGGGAAGTGTGTGTGTGTGTGTGTGTGAGAGAGAGAGAGAGAATGGTGACCAAGGAGGTGTGTGTGAATGGTGACTAGTGAGGGAAGTGTGTGTGTGTGTGTGTGTGAGAGAGAGAGAGAGAATGGTGACCAAGGAGGTGTGTGTGAATGGTGACTAGTGAGGGAAGTGTGTGTGTGTGTGTGTGTGAGAGAGAGAGAGAGAGAGAGAGTGTGTGTGTGAGAGAGAGAGCGAGAGACTGTGTGTGTGTGTGTGTGTGTGTACACAAGAAAGGGTGTGAGTAATGACTACGGGGCTGTGTGTGAATGGGAATCAGAGGAGTGGGTGTGTCTGTAAACGGTAACGTGTGTGTGTGTGTGTGTGTGTGTGTGTGTGTGTGTGTGTGTGTGTGAGAGAGAGAGAGAGAGAGAGAGTGTGTGTGTGAGAGAGAGAGCGAGAGACTGTGTGTGTGTGTGTGTGTGTGTACACAAGAAAGGGTGTGAGTAATGACTACGGGGCTGTGTGTGAATGGGAATCAGAGGAGTGGGTGTGTCTGTAAACGGTAACGTGTGTGTGTGTGTGTGTGTGTGTGTGTGTGTGTGTGTGTGTGTGTGAGAGAGAGAGAGAGAGAGTGTGTGTGTGAGAGAGAGAGCGAGAGACTGTGTGTGTGTGTGTGTGTGTGTACACAAGAAAGGGTGTGAGTAATGACTACGGGGCTGTGTGTGAATGGGAATCAGAGGAGTGGGTGTGTCTGTAAACGGTAACGTGTGTGTGTGTGTGTGTGTGTGTGTGTGTGAGAGAGAGAGACTTGTGACAAGGGGGGGCTGAGGGTCTGAGCAGTGACCAGGGAATGGGTGCGTGAGAATGGTGACCAGGGATGGGTGCATGTTGGGGGTTGTGAATGATGACCAGGGACACGTGTGTCTGTGAATGGGGACAAGGGATGTGTGTGTGACTAGTGACCAGGGACATGCATGTGTGTTTGTGAATGGTGACAACCGACTTGGGAAGAGTGTGAATGGTGATCAGGGCTGGATGACCAAGGAGAGATGTATGTGTTGTGCACGAATGGTGATGGAGGAGGGGTGTGAATGGTAAAGAGAGGAGTGTTTTGTGTGAATGGTGACAAGGGAGCAGAGTAGGTGAAAAATTGGTGGCCAAGGAGGGGTATGTATGAAACTGATGACCAGGGGTGGGTGTATGTGTGAATGGTGACCAGGAATGTGTGTGTGGAATGGTGACCAGAGAGGGCTGTGTAAATGCTGACCTTGGACAAGCATGTGTGTTTGTGTGTGTGGAATGGTGACCAGGGAGGTTGGTGTATGTATTAATGGTGACCCAGGACGTGTGTGTGCGTGTATGAGAGAGAGAGAGGTGACCAAGGAGGCGTGTGTGTGTGTATAGAGAATAACCAAGGTGTGTATGTGTGGTTACCAGGAAGGAGAACGTGTTTGTGCATGTGTATGTGAATGGTGACCAAGGAGGAGTGTGCATGTGAATGGTGACCAGGAAGGGAAGTGTGTGTGTCTGTCTGTGAGAGAGAGAGAGAGAGAGAATGGTGACCGAGGGGTGTGTGTGGGGGGGTGTGAATGGTGACTAGTGAAGGAAGTGTGTGTGTGTGTGTGTGAGAGAGAGAGAGAGAATGGTGACCAAGGAGGTGTGTGTGAATGGTGACTAGTGAGGGAAGTGTGTGTGTGTGTGTGTGTGAGAGAGAATGGTGACCGAGGTGTGTGTGTGTGTGTGTGTGAATGGTGACCAGGAAGGGGAGTGTGGGAGTGTGAATGGTGACCAGGGAGGGGTGTGTGTACGCGCGAGGAGGGTAGTTTCCCACGTGGGGCTGACGCTGGCTGCTCAGCAGCACTGGATTGATCCTGGGGCTATAAAGCGAGTCCGCTGCAAGGAAGGCAGAGCGGCGGCGGCACCGAGGTGTGTGTGTGTGTGTGTGTGAATGGTGACCAGGAAGGGGAGTGTGGGAGTGTGAATGGTGACCAGGGAGGGGTGTGTGTACGCGCGAGGAGGGTAGTTTCCCACGTGGGGCTGACGCTGGCTGCTCAGCAGCACTGGATTGATCCTGGGGCTATAAAGCGAGTCCGCTGCAAGGAAGGCAGAGCGGCGGCGGCGGTAGACGCGGCTCCAGACTCTTGCACACTCGAGCTCCAGTTGAGCGCGGCTCCGAATTGCACCGGCTCCCGCAGGCGGCAGCGGCCAGGGGGGAACCCTTTGTCCGACGCGCCTT